TCTAGCTCCCTGAACACACCAGGCCCTCATAATGCCATACAACTATTCATGCTATTACCCCTGTGTGGAAATGCTCTTTGCTGCTTGTCAACCTGCCCACTTCTACTCAGTTCTCAAGATTCAGCTCAAACATAACCACTGCTAAAATCCTCCCCTGGCATTTCCATCAGGGAACAAGAGCTCCTGCTAGCCTTCCTTTGCACTTATATCTTCGTTAGGGCAAATAGCACACAATATTTGAACTGTTGGTCAAGATGTCTATTGTCCTACTAGACTATAAGATCCTTGATCAAGAACAGTGACTTCATCTTTATATCCTCAGCACAAGTTCAATGCATATAGCATATAGTTCAAAAGAAATAAGGAATTAATGAACTGTAGGCCAATGAAAGGATAAGAAGATCAACTGGACTTCAAGTATAGAAGAAGTCCAGATCTTAAGGAAGTACGGACATCTATTATTAAGTCCCACCTATTAAAAATATAGAAATAAATGATTATTCAGGTATTATCAAGGTTAAAAAAAAAAAGAACTTATCAATAGACTAATCAGGCAATAAGGAGGTAAGAATCTCCAATAGAGCAGCTAACAAAAGATCAACTGAAAGGTCAGCGATAAAGGTGGTTCTTTCTACCAGTCAAGTTATTAATTCATAGGCCTAAGTCCATGGACTGATCAAAAGACTGGCAACTTCCTCTGTCAGTTCACCACTCCTCCCCTTTGTCATTATTCTCCATAGCCTCTTCCCAGCCCCCACTACTAAATCCCAGATTCCAGGGGTAATTTCCCTCTGCTGGAGCCACAGGTCCTACCAGTGGATTAGTCTAAGATAAAAGGCAGGGGCTAGGGGATTGGCAATCTTTATTCTTGTGGCCAGGACCTAGAGGAAAGAAATGAAACTACTATTTACTGAGAGCCAGTTTTATACTAGATATTGTGCTACTTTACAAACACTCACTAAATCTCAGAGTAATCACGAGTAATTATCCCATTTTACAGATGAAGAATCTGTATCCAAGATCACAGCTAAGTAATTAGAGCCTACCTGAAAACCCAGAGATAACAGCCTCTAGAGTATTTCCATACTCCTGACTACCTCAAAATGAAGAGAGATGTGGTCTAGCTATTCTAGGCCAACCTCAGAATATATCACTCTCCAAAACACTATTAGAAATGTTGGCTAAAGGGCGCCTGGGTGGCTCAGTCGGTTGAGCGACTGCCTTCGGCTCAGGTTATGATCCCAGGGTCCTGGGATCGAGTCCCACATCGGGCTCCCTGCTCTGCGGGGAGCTTGCTTCTCCCTCTCCCACTCCCCCTGCTTGTGTTCCCTCTCTCACTGTGTCTCTCTCTGTCAAATAAATAAATAAAATCTTTAAAAAAAAAAATGTTGGCTAAAGTCTATAGTGTACCACTAATACATAATGGGCATACAGTGAGTTAAAATAACTTTGGTGGGGCACCTGGGTGGCTCAGTCAGTTAAGCATCTGACTCTCAATCTCAGCTCAGGTCCTGATCTCAGGGTAGTTTTTTAAAAAAACCAAATAATAATAAGAAAAGAAAATAGCTTTGGGCCCTGATCTGGAAATCTAAATGCTATTTGTTATTTTATTCCTAGAAGTACACTGTTCAACATTACAAAAATGGACTTGAAAATGAATTTCTGGAATACCATGGGCTCTTAAGCAAGGCTTTTCTTTAAGAATATTTTTCTTCCACAAAAAGTCACCAAGGATAGAAACTACTTTACCTTGTTAACTTGTAAGAACAATGACACTAGAAGACACCTACCTGTGAGAAGCGTGCTTATCTGACCAGGTGCTCGTTTATAGTGTGCTGTCATTTGAATAAAACATTACACTAAACCCTACAGACCAGAGCTTATGATAGAATGCCACAAACTACAGCAGTAGCTGATATGCCTATAATCTACTGACAAAACGTACTCCTTAGCAAAGTGAAACCAGATGTCTCGGGTAAAAATCTGATGTCTATGGACTTGTCTTTCTTGGCTTCCAGAGCTGTATTAGATACACTAAATACACAGCTTAGCTGTATATTAAACCCACAACTTGGTAAAATCATGACAGTCTGGACATGAAGCATCAGCATTTTTATTGTAATTCCTATAAACCAAAGACATTTCTGAAATAGAAATCCTAAATTTAAGCACTCAGCTAAATGCAGTACTATGTCTTTCCCACGTTAAGAACAGTGTCAGAGCTTTTTAAACACGTTTATAGGAACTCTTTCCCTTCATTTTTCAAGCTGACGTTTTTTAGACATGGTTGTGGAATGATTTCATGATGGGGGGAGGGGATTCAAACCACATCAGGTGTCAGTCTTTGTCCCAGAAATTCTAGGATCAGATTTAACAGGTGATCACTGTGAAAATGCAAACGCCCACCTCAGGAACTAAGTATGAGATACCTTGCTTCAGTTGCAAAGAAGATCATTAACAATGTGATAGGTGACCAGATAAAAAGGGAGGGAAATTAACAGTTAGTATCTATATGCCAGATGCTGTTTTTTGCATACTTTTTAATATACTCATTGTTCTGTTTTGACAGGTGAGAAATTAGGGAGCAAAATTTTAAGTGGCACAAAGTGGCAGTTAATGAGGTAAGAGCCAGGACTCGAGCCCATGTGAAAAAGACTCTAAAAGACGTGCCACTTCTACATGAGGACTGGGCGTGGAACAAGGAGTGGTGTTACATAGCCAAGAATATGGAGGTAAAAGACAGAAATTTACAATTTTGCCAAATAGTAACACATAATCATGAAACAAAAAGTTGAAGAAACACAAATAGTTGAGAGGGTTCCTCTGAGAGTCAGTTCATAAGAGACTTACTTTCTACCTTTTATATCCCTGCAAGACTCATTTTTAAATAACTTTTTTTAATCCTATATATCCTTTGTAACAAGAAAGTCATCTTAAATAAAAAATGAGGTTAAATGTACAGAAACTCATACAAGTGAACAGTCTAGTATTTATTTTCTTAAATGCATTATCCTTAACACTCCATGTTTTCTCATCTTATGTGATCTTTATGGAATAATTCAAAATACTATCCTCATCTAATTTTTTATACTGATACATTTCAATACACTGCAAAATGACTATAGCACTATAATAGCGCTCCAACTGGTCCTAAGGGTTAACTTGCCTCAAGCTTATGCACTCCTTGCTTGCTGACCTAAGTCCCTTGGTCTGTAGCCAAACTAACCTACTTTCCTTGAGATTTGCAAACAAGTGGCCTTTTGAGGAGTGAAGGACCAAACTTTCCCAGAAGATAATGCCTAATCACATTTGAAAACAGCTGCTGCTGATGCCAGCAAGTCTATTCAGGATCATGTCGACATACCAATAACCACCTGGGCCCCAGGTTCTCCTGCATGGAGCGCCCCCTGCCCCATTTTTCACGCCTTCTCCTTTAAAACTCTCCAGCTTCACCTGGCCTGGGAAGATGGTCTTTGGGACATTAGCCCACCATCCTCCCCAGGTTGCCGACTTCCTGAATAAAACAATCTTTCCTTTCCCGCTTGTCTCTCACCTGTCTCTCAAGTATTGATTTTCAAGCTGCCAGCAGCCAAACATGAGTTCGGAACTGATTCTCTGTCCAGTAACAACACTATTCTAAAACAGGACACAAATCACCATGGTCAGTAATCCTTTAAAGTTTATCACTGAAAGTACTAGAAGGCAGAAAAATAGCACTGTCCCCCCACAACACTGTATAGACCTGCACATGACTAAGATCAATAGTATAGGGAAGGTCTCATACAGTAACACTTAAGTATTCCGAAAATCTACAGAAAACTGGTGAAAGGCCTGCTCCAAATGGCCATCTCCAAACCCAGTCTCATGATTTTTACCGTCCTACTTATGTATCAGTGTTCCACACTTTGGTGGGAAAAAATAAATACCTACTGAATCAATGAATGAACCCATCATCAATAAACAACTATTTTCTGGTTTTTCATAAATTATATGGTTATCTATCACTTGAGTCCAAATAAGACTGGTTCAGGGCACAGGCAGCCATTGTCAAGTTGCCACAGAGTGCAATTCTAGCTTTCCTTCATAAGTATCCAAGAATGGTTTGCTACATTCTTGCTTGTGGCTAACCTGAATTTTAGCTAACTTAAAATGTTTTATATGGGACACATAGGATGCATAAGGTATTATTCCCAACTTTCTGAGAGGGGCTGTGTTTCATTTCACCAGTAAGAAGTTAGGAGTGGTATATTGGAGAAGTAATGGAAAATTTGCCCTAAAGAACCACTGAAAGAGATCATGCCGAAAAATCACAGCAAACCCCAAGGGTTTCTGTGCGCTGTTTGGCTACTTTTCAGAAGTGAATAGAATATTTGTGAGGGGGTATCAAAGCGAAAGTCAAGAGTAAAAGACCCAGCCTGGTAATATCACCCCCCCACACCAAAAAAACAAAGACAAACACAAAAAAACAACAAAAAAAAACTTCCTCCATGAGCTTGTGAGAAGATCGCAAAAGAATTTCAACAGTTACCATATTGCTAATTAACTTTACCCTTTGGCGTCCTAAAGAATTTTTACAGGAGTCTCTTTTTAAAAGGTAAAGATCTGTGGGTGGGGTTTCTGTCAATAATCAAGCAGGACCATGATTCTTCAATACAGTCTCCGGGATTAATCACAGCTTAGAGGAAGACATAGACTGGAGGCAGACAACTGCAAGACCCACGTTCCAAAGACGGGAAGGGTAATGACAGTTTTCTGTCAAGTGGCTATAAGGGATCTTTGCCAAGCTGCCAAACTCCCAGCCAGCTCTACAGGCTCTAGGCCTGAAAAAACTCTTGGGTTTGGAGCCTGTGACCCTTGAAGGTGGGCCTCAGGTTCCTGATGAAATGGAAGAATCTGGCCCCTAAATCCCCCAGGAGCAGTTCTGGATCTAGATTTTTCTCTCCCTTGCTCTTTCTTACTATAGCCCTAGCTCCTTCCACCCCTGATCATTCCTTACTTACCCTTTCTCCCGTTCTTCCTCGGTGAGAAGGGGTAAGTGGTTATTTTGTGCCCTCGCCCAATTTGGCCAAAACCCTAAAAGTAAAAATGACAGAGACAGGTGCTTTAAAATCCTGATGTTCAAGCCTCAGGAACTCCCACCACATGCCCAACAGTTCAAAGCAGAGGACAGCGCGTCCCCACAGCGCTCCCTCACGGCCAGGGCTTGGAGCCGGAGTTGTCCCCTAAAAGGGGGACGAGGAGAGGGCGAGATCTTGGGGTGCCCACTTGGCGGGGAAGAGCGAGCCGCCTCCCGACTAGGTGTCGCCGCGGTTAGGCGCCGGTTTGCAACCACAGTTAGCCGGAGGAGGAGGCGGCAGGGCCGGCCGCCGCGCGGGCCCTCAGATAAACACGCGCACGCACACATGCCCGCGACACCGCAGGACTCGCGGCCGAGCAGCCCTCAGCCTCCCAGCAATTCCCGCCCCGCCGGGAGCCGACTCCACCGGAAGGGTCCCAAGCCCAGAGGACCGCCAGGTGTCGGCGGCTGCGGACCCACCCACCCCCTGCAGCCTCTCAGTGCCCCCCGAACCGCCGCCGGGCTCCCGCCCTCCGCACCCGCTGCGCAGCTCAGCCCAGGGGAAGTCCCCACGCTAGCCCCGCCCTCCGCCAGTGGAAAGCTCCGCCTCCACTCCCGGGCGCGCGGGAGCCGCGCGAAGCTCCGCCCACGGCGGAAAGCCGGCACCGCCCCCTCCTTCCCCCCGGCGCCCGCCTGGGTTAGCCCTAAAACCCGTCGTGGATTTGCAACGGATCAAAAGTAACACTCATTCAGCAAGCAATAACTGAGCCCTTACTCTAAGGTCTGCACCGTACTAATGACTGAGAGGACAAGAGAGAGCTGAAACTCTGTGAAACTGTGTCTTCAGCTCCTCCCCTTGCTATAGAGGTCAGGAAACGGAGACCCCAGCAGTTGCTTGGAGTGCACAATTATAGTGGCAAAGAGCCTTTCCAGTGCTCCCCGGTCTGGACTCCGTTATTGCGTTTTTTCTACTAAAGTGTACACAGGAAAACGATTTCAATTTTGCTTTCTCTAGGCAAGCCAAAAAGAATAATCCAGAACACGGAGTTTACTTTGGAAAAGCTGGGATTTCCTCCTAAGCTTTTGTCTTCAAATGGTACAAGCTCCCTAAAAGTTAATTAACATACAAAAAGTGTTGCTAAATCTGACTGAATTTAGTCACTAAGATTCATCAAATGTGCTTAAGAAGCTGAAGTCACCTGGAAAGGCTATAGTATAGTGTCTGATGCCAACTATGTGCCATTCTGGGAAAGGTAAAACTGTGGAGACAGTAAAAAGATCTGGGGTTGCCAATGGTTGAGGGGCTGAGGGGAGGGAAAAATAGGTGGAGCACAGATTTTTATGGCAGTGAAAATATTCTCTATGATACTATCGGGGTGATACATAGTATTATACATTTGTCAGACCCCGTAGAATGTACAATACCAAGAGTGAACAGTAACCATACACTATAGACTCTGGGTAACAATGATGTGTCAATGTAGGTTCATCGATTGTAACAAATATACCACTTTGGTGCTGGGATATTGATAGTTGAGGAAACTGTGCAAATGTGGGGTCAGGGATATATTGGAACTCTATATTCTCTGCTCAATTTTTCTGTAAAACTGCTCTAAAACATAATCTTAAAAAATGAAGCTGGGGTAAATCCTCAGAACATCCCATTTTCTTCAAATCCATCAATTAAATTCTAACCTGAATATTTGGCTTTAACTGTGGAGTTGAGATATAATGATTTGTCTTCTTTTTTTTTTTTTAAGATTTATTTATTTATTTATTTGAGAGAGAGAATGAGATAGAGAGAGCATGAGAGGGGGGAGGGTCAGAGGGAGAAGCAGACTCCCCGCTGAGCAGAGAGCCGGATGCGGGACTCGATCCTGGGACTCCAGGATCATGACCCGAGCCGAAGGCAGCCGCCCAACCAACTGAGCCACCCAGGCGCCCTGATTTGTCTTCTTATATTCGAACATCCCTCCATGTGGCATTAATGTCACCAGAGAGAAAATGAATCATATATGTATTCCTCACTAAGGAACAAAATTAAAGTATGGCTAGACATGTCTAATATTCAAGGAGATACCTAAGCAAGGCTAACCTGAAATAATTAAATTTACAAATTCTATGAATATATTTGTATTTCAAATCCATTTCTATTCATACATACTTACAATTAGTAAGCAAATAGTCCAAGGTATCATAGAGGTTTTTAAACTTTTTCGTCTCAAGATCTCCTTACGTTTTTAAAAATGAGAACTTTAAAGAGCTTTTTTTTATATGGGTTAAATATGTCTATATTTACTGTATTAAAAATTAAGATAGAAAAATTTTAGATATGTGTTTAATTCATTTTCAGAATAATAGACCCATTGCATGTTACTATAATGAACATTTTTTGAATAATGACTATATTTTTTTAAAAACTCAGAAAAAAAATAGACTTTTCTACATTTTTTGCAAATCTCTTTACTATCAGGTTTAAGAGAAACAGGTGAATTCCCATATTCTGCTTCTGCATTCAATCTGTTGCAATATGTTGTTACAGCTAGGATATTATGAAGAAAAGCAGCCCTTAGTCAAATTTGTAGTTGAAGAAGGGAAGACCTTGCAAACCCCCTAAAAAGAGTCTCAGTAACCCTAGGGTCCTCCAACCTTACTTTGAGAATTGCTGCCAAATAGCATTTTGGATTCATTTAATTCAATATTATGCATTCCCACACCAGTCCGCTAACACTTGAAATTATAGCCCTTCACTTATTCCAAACTAAAACTCAAATTTGACAGCTCTTATCAAACCATCACCTTTCTGAAAGTTTTTTCAAAGCTTTTACTATAGCAACTCTGATGAAATTGATATTCTTACTTGAATACATATGAAAACATTTGAGATTTCATTTATATCCTTCATTTCAAACTTTCTGGGAAATTTTCAATATAAATTGTGCCACCTGGAAAAATGAAACATTGCTATACAGTTATTATTCCAATTTTACATATACTTATAATGAAATGTGTGCATTTCCTTTTATATAAATAATTTGAAAGTGAGCTAAAAATATATATAAAACAAGTAATTATAGTTTTATTTATTACCTAAACAAATACTAGGTTCTAAAGTTACCTCCTTGAAGTAAAATTTTAGATATATAAGCTTTCATTTTTACTACAAATAAATAATGTAAGCAACTCATTCTGGGTTTTTAAACATAATTTCCAACTAAAAGAAACTGGAGAAAAAGAAACCACCTGCCCAGGTCTGGGGCAGGATATATAGATGATAAGTATGAGATGTCTTGTGCCACAAAGAAGAAATTCATTTATAACAAATAAGAGTGTCAAAAGGTCACAAACACCAAAACTACAGAATCCCTTTGGCCAAAGATGGGACAATTTGAACACCAACAAAAATAATGAATGCAATCATTTGAAACATATTGAATATATAAAAATCCAAGAGCCCTTAATGATACTCCAAACGTGAGAAACCAAAACCAAAACAAACAAACAAACAAAAACAATTGGACACTTTTGCAAGCAACTAGGGCGCTAACTCCATATTCTATAGAAATGAAAACAAAGGAAAAGAATGAGAATGCATATTGCCTTTCCTGTTTGAACTGTATTACAGAAAATCAAATGGCTGTTGAGGGGAAGGTGTTTCTTATAATAAATGTGAAAGAAATAAGAGAATTGGAAAATTGCAATTTAGCAATCCTTTGTGAAGTAAATGATTCAGGCAACAATCGTCAGTGGATGAAACCATTACATGAAAAGGTCAATGATATACTTTACAGTGGAAATCAGGGTGTTCACTACCTCCGTCTAATAGTCTAAGTAGTGCTACTGATGAGACTCCAGACACTGTGTGCCTCCTTATCTGACGCCATCTGAAGCACTCAGCACCCCCTTTCTTGCAAACAAAACAAAACGAAATAAAAAATGGAATCTAAGCAAGCCTTAAAACTGACTTCCTACTCACAGTCTTACAGGAAACATGAGGGTTAGAGGAACAAGTTAAATGACACCATGAAGAAAGTAACAGATAAATCTAGAGTGTAAGACAATCTGTAAAATAAATGACATTGTCTTCACAGCAAGTTAATATCGGGGACAAAAAGGAGAGGGAAAGGATGAGGAGAAGCTCTAGATTAAAGATAGGTAGCAACCAAATGTACAGTATGAAACTTGTCTGGGTCCTGATTCAAACATCACTGCAGTAAAAAGACTTGTAAGACAATCATGGACATTTGACAATGGACTGTTGTTAGACAATGTCAAAGAAATACTGTTATTTTATTAGGTGTGATAATGGTATTGTGTTTATGTAAGAAAATGTCCATCATCTTTGCAGAGACGTTCTGAAGTATGGTGAAGTGAAATGACATACTCTCTGGGACTTGCTTTAAAATATTTTAACAAGAAAAGAAAAAGAAAGAAAGAAAGAAAGAAAGAAAGAAAGAAAGAAAGAAAGAAAGAAAGAAAGAAAGAAAGAGAAAAAGAAACGAAGAAAGGAAGAAAGGAAGAAGAAAAAGAAAGAAAGAAAAGGAAAGAAAGGAAGGAAGGAAGGAAGGAAGGAAGAAAGAGGAAGGGAGGGAGGGAGGAAGGAAAGAAAAGAAGGAAGAAGAAGGGCTAGATGACATAAATGTGACAAAACTGGGTAATTATTGAATCTGGTGATGAATATATAGGAGTTCATTGGACTTTTCCTCAGCTTTCATATATGTTTCAAATGTTTCATAATACAAATTTAAAACTAAATGTGACTGCCTTAGCCCAGATTTCCTAGAAAACAGTGCCTGAGAGAAAGTGCACATACTAAAATTTTATTGGGTGTGGAGGGGCTGGTCCTAGAAAAGCAAGAGTAAGGGGATAGGGTGAGTGAGGCAGGGACAGGAAGAAGGAAAACCTAGGTGATATATTACAAGCTGGTTATAGCTTCACAGTACAGTTGACTACTGACAACTAGGGGGTTGAAGTCACCAACCCCCACTCAGTCAAAACTCCACGTATAATTTTTGACTCTGAAAACTTAACTACTAATAGCCTATTGTTGACCAAAAGCCTTACCAATAAACAGCAGATAAACACGAATTTTGTATATGTATTATATACTGTATTCTTATAATAAAGTAAGCTAGAGAAAAGAAAATGTTATTAAGAAAATAATAAGGAAGAGAAAATATATTTACAGCACTGTATTTCTCGAAAAAAATCTGCTTATAAGTGGACCTGCGAAGTTCAAACCCTTTTTGCTCAAGGATCAACTCAGTATACAGTTGACTGTTTGATCACAAGGGGCATCTCAGGAAGACTGTATGAAACCACCAGGCACAGTAACCGTCCTTCAGAAGAAGGAAAAACAAGCAATTTTTTCTATTGGATTCTTCCTGCCTTCTGTCTCTCATCCATCAATGTTTGTTCCACAAAGCAGGGCAAACATGTGGAGAAGAAGGTTGGGGTGGGGGGCGGGGTGGGATTGGGCAAGAGAATGGAAACAGAGAGGCAAATAACTGGGTCTCATAAAGTGACTGAGATTGATTTCTTATAACAAT